CTGCCCCCGCCCGCACACAGCAGGGGCAAGGTGCAGGTGGCGGCCCGGGCGCATGTAGCCGGTGTCACCTCCCGCCGGCAGCTTTGCCATGGGCCAGGTGCGGCTCCGGCCCCATGCCGGCCCCTCCTCTCTGCTGCCTCCCTGCCCTATTCCGGGCCTGGCCCGCTGCCTGCTGCGCATTGCTGGGGGGTCGTGCTGAAAGGGACTTGGCGTCCTGGCTTTGCTCCGGCGGGGGCCGAGCTGGCCTAGATCCTGAGCAGGGAGGCGGGGGAGGCTCTTGATCTCCTGCACAAGCTATTCTCTCCACTAAGTCCCTTAATTCCCTGGAAATCCCTTGTGCTGCTAATGGCGCACGCTGGCCTTGCCAGCACCTTGCCCGCTGCTGGGCACCAGGCACTGCCCGGCCTGGAGCAGCCCGGCGGCCCCTGCCTGCTGGAGGGCCCTGGCAGCCTGCAGTGATGGGGGGTGGGGAATATTTGGGGACGTTTTGGCAGCCAGACTGGGAGCAGGTCAGAGACTGCCAGGCCCTCCCGGGGCAGGGGGTGCCACAGGGGGGGATGTCACGCTCCCCTGCCTGCGTTGATTGCTGCGGATGCCCGCGGCATCCCACCAGCTGTGAGCTCTTACGGGCACGTCTTCTCCAGGGTCCCTGCTGCCCATGGCACTGGGCAAGTGTCAGGGCGACGGGGGGCTTGGACCCTGAGCAGCATGGCGGGGGCTCAGCCTCACGGTGCTGTCCTTGTAGATGGAGCCGGAGGTGGTGGAGCAGCCCCAGGCACCGAGGCTGGAGCCGGAGTTGCCCAATGGCATGGAGAAGGTCCAAGTGAGGGAGCTGGAGAGAAGGAGCAAGCTGAACGTCGAGGAGCTGAACAGGATCGAGGATGAGGAAGTTCTGGATAAGATGGTAACCTTCTCTGCTGCTGGGCTCCTGGGGGAAGGCAAGAGGACCCCTAGCTGGTGGCAGAGGGGTGATGCTGACCTCCACCTCCTCCTGCAGCTGGATCGGACGATGGACTTTGAGGAGCGGCGACTGATCCGAAACGCCATGCGGGAGCTGCGCCAGCGCAAGCGAGGTACTTGAGGATGGTGACCCCTGCAGGGGTTGGGGCTCTGGTGGTGGCATTGCAGGCGGAGCCAGCAGGGTGCTGGAGTGGGGCCGTCCAGCTGTGGTGAAGCAGGAGGGTGCGTTGGGTCTTCTGTTGCACTCCTGGCTGTGCCAGGCTGAGGACATCGTCCTTCCCACAAGCTAGTTCTGGACCGGCAGCAGCAAGCAGGACCCCCTGCCGCTCCTGCCTCTCACTGCTGATGCTGTCTCCC